CTCTCTCTCTATATATATATATCTATATATCTATATATCTATATCTATATATATATATGTATGTATGTATGTATATATCTATGTATCTATCTATCTATATATATATATACATATATACATATATACATACATACATGCATATACATCTATATCTGTATCTATCTATCTATCTATCTATATTATATGTATGTATGTATGTATGTATGTATGTATGTATGTATGTATGTATGTATGTATGTATATATGCATGTATGTATGTATGTATATCACGTCGATTCACTCGAGGATGTATAAAACCTCCTCCACCTTTCCCACAGCCATACGAAAATTACCCTCTATCGGAAACTGATGAACTCGAGGTGGCAACACACTCCTGCAGTGTGGTGACATTTTGCCCTGTATATTCGTTAAAGACTATCGAAGAGACTACTATACATTGCCTGAAGCTCCCTTGCATCTTCCTTCATACTGCAAGATGAACTTCAGTCGCCTTCAATTCGCCAAAGTCCAGGGCACGAGCGTTTTATCCGGCGAGTGAGGAGGATGCCCGAAAAAAGGTGTTGCCAGGGACCGCTGCTGTGTCATATTATTATTTTTAGTATAATAAATGTACAAATTATATTTTTTTTTGTCACCACTCTTTCCCCTAAAATAAGCAAGCATGAGATGGAGGAAAATCCGTTGATCTGTCCTTTTTACGAGTATTTATTATTTTATTTTAGTTCATCCTTAATCCCATAAAAGTCGAAATTTGATTCATCCTAAATCCATGTCTATAATGACTTTCTATAAATATATATAGTGTTTGTACGTACTTTCATAAGTTTTACAAAGGTTGTTTTATGAATGGTGAATAATGAATATTTATTTGCACTCGTTTTCTTCGACTTGTATGCTGATTTTTTACGTTATTTTTCTCAAAATTGAACTTTTTGTTTTCATATTTAAAGATACTAAATAGAAGCACATTCTTTAGTTTTCCTGCGTAAGAAGTGACGCTAGACCGCGAAAAAGAGTCTCTATACGGTGTTTGCCATGCCAATCAAAAAAACATGCATGCCCTCACATGTTGTTGCTGTATAACCCACAACCGTTTCTCTGTTTCGAGTATCATGACTAATGATGTCAATAATGAGAACTACTGAATATAAGGTATTGATAAGTAAATGTTCAAGTAATATATGATAAATAGTTTATGTATTTGAACACTTTGGTCGGGGGTTGAAATAAGAAAATGGAGAAACAAAAATAAATAAAAACGAAACAAAACAAAGAAAGACCAATGCATATGAATGCCTTCCTTCTTTTATAGGAAATAAAGTACAATCCGTGATAATAACAAAAAATACATCAATATACTACTACTACTACTAATTATTATTATACAATAGTAATAACATACACAATAAACGAAAGATAATCAATCTATTGAAGAGCGTTTCGACATCTTCCTTATTTGATCGTTCACGAGGATGGACCTTTCCTTTATCGACACTTAATATAGTTTGCTTGCTGTGGATACCGTTTGTTATTTGATCTAGTAAACTAATATTTGTCTTATTCATCGACACCACATCTTTATAATTATTTTGGCTACACTAATTCAACATGTTTATGTTTAACGGAGTGTAACCAAGCATTCATTACTCGTGGTACTTTGATCTGTCTTCCGTTAAAACTAGTCTTGCAAACGAGGGGGCAAGCAGTTGGGTAGTGTCTGATTGATTGTTTCTACAGTGGTTAATGCCTATATCTGTGTGTGTGATAGTGTGCATAGAGTCCATTTTTCTGTGGCATTGTCCGAGGTCTGGGTGCGTAGGTCTCCCCAAGGCAAGAGCAAAGTAAAGTATTATGAAATGAAATGGATTGGAGTGGAGATGAGATGTTAATATATGTGTGTATTTTTTTTTGGGTTAGTGAAATTGTAAAAGTGTGTTTTTTGAGTGTTTTTGTGAATGGACTGTGTCTGATTTTTGTGTTTTTTGTTGATTTGCTTGTTTGTTGGTTGTGCTTTAGTTTGGGGTGAGTGCGATAGTGCGTGTTTCTGTGTCTGTCCCCCCCCCCCCCCTCCTCTTGTAGAAGGCTGTTTCTGTTGTTTCTGTGTGAGTGAGTCTGTAGGTGAGTGAATGCGTGTGTATGTGTGTGTTTTTGAAATGGACTTTGACATCGAGATAGATAGTTGTTAATAAAGTGTTGTTGTTGTTGTGTATCTTTTTTCTCCTTCCTTTACATGTTTGTATGTGATTTTGTTTTCATCGTGTGTTCTGTGTCCGTTAAACTTTGTTCCTTCCTTCCTTCCTTCCTTCCTTCCTTCCTTCCTTCCTTCCTGTCGTTTCTCGCTCTCTCTCTCCCCCCCCCCCCCCCCCTCTCTGTCCCTCTCCCTCTCCCTCTCTCTGTTGATATGGCACAAGAACTCCTTCTCATTGACTGACTGACTGACTGACTGACTGGTCAAAGAATATATATAACAGACTCTGTGTTTTACTCATCCCCACAACGAGTTATTTACTTAGTTAGTGAGTTAGTTAGTTAGTGCGCTCAATTTTGTAGTGAGTGACAATGACACGTAACTCAATCCTCCTCCTCCTCCTCCTCCTCCTCCTCCTCCTCCTCAATACACAACCAACCACCCTCGTGTGTTTACCCGGCAGATATCAAAGTTTGCCGTTAGATGTCGTGCATAAAAGAAAACTACACACTCTTCTTCTTCTTCTTCTTGTTGTTACATGGCAAACTTTAGCAAATCTAGTTTGAGCCTAGTTTAGTTCCCAACATTGCACTAATGAAATGACCAAGTAAGTAGCCTTTTGGTAATAACAACCCTCTTTGAATATTCACACACTCTCTTCTTGTTCTTCTTCCTCCTCCTCCTCCTCCTCCTCCTGTGTCTGTCTGTTACTTTTGTATGGGGAGCAGAAAAACACACAAACAACAAATCTCACACACACACACACACAGACAATCAATCATATAGACACATAGACAGACATACACGCATACACAACACAAACATACACAAACAGACATAGACACACACGCACACGCACGCACACACACATAGACATAGACATAGACATAGACACACACATAGACATAGAGACAGACATAGACATAGACATAGAGACACACACATGCGCATCACAAACAGACAGACATACATACATACATACACACACAGACACATACACATAGAGAGAGACAGACAGACACATAGACACACACACATAGAGACACACATACACAGACATGCGCAACACAAACAGACAGACATACATACATACATACATACATACATACATACATACATACACACACAGACACATACACATAGAGAGAGACAGACAGACACATAGACACACATACACAGACATGCGCAACACAAACAAACATACATAATTATGCAATAACTCCAAGCTATACAAATTAGTTTGTTAGTCAGTCAGTCTGTCAGTCAACACATGTGTGCACAACCTACACACAATAGCAAACGCAACAAACCTACCCTACCTATTTTCCCCACAGTCACACAATAATTAAATACATCACTACTCTACTCTATGATTATAGCCTTGTTCAATGTGCCTTTGTCATTGCATATACCTACATCTATAACATTGGCATCCAAAATCAAATAAACTCAACGATTCAACTGCATCACAAATATACCTAGTTTGTTTGTTAGTTAGTGAGTTTGTTACTTAAATACCCAATCACTCACTCACAATAACTACTCATCAACGATGGTAACAACATTAAAACCTACACCACTCAACCTACATGTATATATTGATAGATTCCACAAGTCTTTGTTAAAAACAACCAAAGATACATTGATAATCAATATAATTATCAACTGTTTAACGACACAGTTATCTACAACTACTCTCTTACTTATTTACTGACATGTCCCACAATGCTACACACACAAACAAACAAATAAATGATAACATGTACTAATCGCCCATGATAACATCAAATACAAACTAACCAATACTGCCAAAAACAAAACTTTCTAACGTAACCTACCTTCATTACTACAAATGTAGACTAGCACAAATAAACAAAACAAAGCTAAACAAAATAAAATAACACACAAACAAACTAAACTACTAATAAATAGTCAACAATTTTTCTCTCAAAAATTGTATTAGGACCTAAGATAGGTCCAAGGTTTTGTTTGGGTCGCTTTACTGGTTGGCTTTGGTGGTTGTGGTAGTTTTCCTTCTTGTAATTGTTGTTGTTGTGGAAAACGCTTAACCTCCGAAACCGTACAGGGTACGTCCCTGGCGCTTGAGAGCGTAGACAACGTCCATGGCAGTGACAGTCTTCCTCTTAGCATGCTCGGTGTAGGTGACAGCGTCACGGATCACGTTCTCGAGGAACACCTTGAGCACACCACGGGTTTCTTCATAGATGAGACCAGAGATACGCTTGACACCACCACGACGGGCAAGACGACGGATTGCAGGCTTGGTGATACCCTGGATGTTATCACGCAACACCTTGCGATGACGCTTGGCGCCTCCCTTTCCGAGCCCCTTGCCACCCTTTCCACGTCCAGTCATGGTTTCAGCTTTGAATCACTTAACCAAGAGATGCCTGCCTCAACGCCCCATCGCTAATGCAACACTCACTCGCCTACGTTAGTGTAGCGCTCGCCCGGCCGCGTCAACCCAGCGCTCATCCTAACCGTCCGCTCTTCAAATAAAAGCTCTCTTAATCCTTGATACCGCTTAAAATGTACCTCTCGGATTAAACTAGTAGATTAGCACTCAAACATTGCACAAACTAATGTAATCATCACCAAACAAGGCCTAGGCACTTTCACCCAATCACACCTGACAGCCGTCAATCCTCAAGCTCTGTTTACACAGCATCAATGGGCGGCGCCAAGCCTCACACTGATAGCCACACGCCGCGCGACTTGGCCCAGGCCGCTCTGGTATAAATTCAGCTCTTGAAACCAGCGCCCCCGTTTCCTATCTGTCTAGATACAAACAATCAATCAATCCCCAAAATGGCACGTACCAAGCAGACTGCCCGCAAGTCTACTGGAGGCAAAGCCCCCCGCAAGCAGTTGGCCACCAAGGCAGCTCGCAAGTCTGCCCCTGCTACAGGAGGTGTCAAGAAGCCCCATCGTTACAGGCCCGGAACTGTCGCCCTTCGTGAGATCCGTCGTTACCAGAAGAGCACTGAGCTCCTGATCCGCAAGCTGCCCTTCCAGCGCCTGGTCCGTGAGATTGCCCAGGACTTCAAGACTGATCTCCGCTTCC